TTTAAATATATTTTTATTTCCACGGAAGGGACAGGGAGGGAGTTAGAAACAGCAATGATGAGAATCATTGATCAGCTGCCTCCTGCACACACCACCACCCCCACTGGGGACCAAGCCTGCAACCCAGGCATGTGACCTTGACCTGAATCGAGCCTGGGACCCTTTAGTCCGCAGGCCAACGCTCTATCACAGCCGTGGGCAAACTATGCCCGCGGGCCGGATCCGGCCCGTTTGAAATGAATAAAACTAAAAAAAAAAAAAAAGACCGTACCCTTTTATGTAATGATGTTTACTTTGAATTTGTATTAGTTCACACAAACACTCCATCCATGCTTTTGTTCTGGCCCCCCGGTCCAGTTTAAGAACCCATTGTGGCCCTCGAGTCAAAAAGTTTGCCCACCCCTGCTCTATCCGCTGAGCCAAACCGGCGAGGGCGGGAGCCCTCTGGTTTAAATCTGGCCCTCGACCATGCTGAGGACAGATGTCTTTACATGGGGAGAGCCCCAGGGACTAGCTCTGTGAGAGGGACAGCTGGAGTGGGGGAGGGCAGGTGGACAGATGGACAGACAGAAGGAAGCAGCTGAAGAATGCTGCTGAAGAGGTTGGGTGAGGCCAGCTTGCTGCGAGGCCAGCACAGGAGCGGTGAACTGCGCACAGCGTGACCGGGCTTGTCCAGGTCTCCAGGGCCGACCTCCGCGCTTCTCTACCCCACAGGTCACGTACGGTTCATTGACTATGAATATGCCGGCTACAACTACCAGGCTTTTGACATTGGCAACCATTTCAATGAGTTTGCAGGTGAGAGGGGCGTTGCTCTTTGGCCTGCGTCCAACATTCCCTCTGTATGTTGGCTGGCCAGGTCAGGGAGAGGATGGGAGGGGTCCTGTACTTGGGGGTGGAGCCTAGACAGCCCCTGTCCTCCGAAATATCCCAGCTCTGGGGCGGGGAGGTGGATGGGGAGCCACAGCCTGCATTGGAGAGCGCCAAGTCTCCTGGGGGAGGCAGGACCCACCTACACAGAGCACACCTGTGGCCAATCTGGCAGTTTGGTACAAAGTAGGAAGACATGCCCACATAGGATCCCTGGCTTGGCGTGTGACTTAGAAAAAGACCCCTTTCTCTGGGTACATGCAGCCCTCGCCAGCTGGGCCAGCACAGGACACCCTCAGCCTCGACTCACCCCCTTGCCCCAGCTCCTTTCTGCCCAGTGCAACCTGCAGGCTTATAGACGAGGGCCCAGCAGGCAGGTAAGGAGCAGAACAAGCCGTAAGCAGCTCCTTGCCTGGGGGCATTATGAAAAGAACCTCGTTGCAACTAGTTAAAGTATGTCCTCTGCACCTTGGCTCCCTGACTGTAAATCCTGGCTCTGGTGCTTGCTGCCTGACCCTTGCCTTCTCTGTGCCTCTGTAGAATGGAGATAAAACACTAGGACCTGCTTCATAGTATCCATATGAGACACACACACACACAAGTACGGCACATACTAAGCAGATATTAGCACTGGCTGCTGATACCAGGACGGGAAGCCTTCTGCAGCCCGGAGACTGGAGCAGGGCTGGATGGTGGATGCGAAAGTGTTTCCTGGGAGTAGGCAGTGTGTACACAGAATCAGTGTGTAGGGAAGCAGGGTGATTGTGTCCAGCTTGAGAGCTTGTTGAAAAACAATTCCGTAGGATGAAAAGCTACTCCCTGGCCCTGGGGTTGGAGGGACACCCCAGGATGGCGGTGTGAGGTGCTCAGCAGCCCCTGAGGTTTAGGATCAGCCACTCCGCAGCCCAATCTAGGCCAATCAGGACCCTTCTGGAACCCCAGCTGACCAGGTCTGTTGGCCTATCGAGTGCTAATTGCACCAGAGGCTCAGCTGGGCAGAGCAGCTGAACTGTGGGGGTGGCACGAGCTGAGGCTGGCATCTGCAGGGCACTGGGGCCGTGCATGCTCAGCTGCCAGGCCCACTGACCTTTCCAGAAGGGATCATCCTTAAGCATGTTAAGTCCTTCTCACCCACCACAGGGAGCGAAGTCCAGCTGGAATTTCTCCCCAAAGGGCAGATTGCATCCTGCTCCTAAGTTGAGAATGAAGGAGGAGGACTGAGCATGGGGGAGGGGTGGGGGGAGGGCCAAGGAGGAGAGTGGGAGCTGGGGAGAGGGACCTCCAGGGTTTGTGGGAGCCAGGGGGCCTGTTACTGGGAGCTGGAAATCCGTGTTCCCATCCTGAACCCACCTCTAACCAGCTGCCTGACCTTGAGCAAGTATCTTCTCTCTGGGCCTTAGTTTCTGCATCTGCACAAGGAGATTCCTCCTAGCCATGCTCTTGGGGCCCTGGGCGACTGAGTGTGTTTCTCCAGAAACCTAAGGGAAGGAAAGAAGAGGGAGGAAGAGACCGGGGAAGGTGGTCCAATCCTAATTCTGTCTTAAATAAACTGCTGCTTTCTGTGCCAGCTCTAAAGCCCAGGCCTCTGCCACTGTGCCCAGGATGTGCCCAGGTGCTGGGCTGGCAGCTTGAGGACTCAAGGAAGGGCAGGCCAGAAGGGATGAAGGCCACCCAGTCCTGGCTGTTCCCCAGTCGCCTGGAGAATTGGGTGGGGGCAGGTGCCTTGGAACCTGTTGTGAACACTGTCCGTGATGTTTGAGTAGCCGGCCCACAGGAAGCAGCGTTTGAGTCACACGGAGCCCTTCGTTTGCCACGGAGAGATTTGGGCCCATGAGAGGAAAGGGCTTGTCCGAGGTTAACTGGAGGTCAGCATCGGACCTAAGACAGCTGAGCCCTGACTCAGTGCTGTGCCCCAGATGTGACATCGTGTTATATAGGGCACGGGGGAGACAGTGGTGCTAAGGGGGTCCCCATCACGCCCAGGACTATCCCTTGCCCCTCAACCAGTTCTGCTTCTCTCAGTGCCCCAGATAGGGTGGGGGGTCGACCCTCTACACATTATAGGTAACCAGCAGGCTGCATTCCTAGGCCCCGCCCAGCGAAGCAGGGAACACCTGAGCTGGAGGAGGCCCCAGGTGAGCCTTCTCCCAGCCCCTTCTGTGACGCCACTTCCCTCCCACCAGGTGTGAATGAAGTTGATTACTGCCTCTACCCTGGGAGGGAGACCCAGCTACAGTGGCTGCGCTACTACCTGCAGGCACAGAAGGGGATGGCCGTGACCTCCAGCGAGGTGCAGCGGCTCTACGTGCAGGTCAACAAGTTTGCCCTGGTGAGTGCGTGTGGCTTGGTGGCTGGCAGGGAGCAGGGCCGGGCGGAGCCAGGAGGTGGGACAGGGACCCACCCCCAGCTCCTGCCTCTCACAGCCTCGTGGTGGAGAAAACAGAGCCAGGGCCAGGTGTGAGGTCCCGGGGAACCCTACCCTAGAAGTGAGATCGAGGAAGAGCCCTCTTAGGCACCCCTATAATACTAAGGTGCCCTGTTCCCTGCTTCCCCCACCCCCTCAAGTCTAGGTTCTCCCTTTCCTGGAAACTACTTCCAGGAAATCTCAGCTTCCTATGTTAGCAGTTCTCTCACTTGGACCAGAAGTTCTTTCTAGTGTCTAACCTTAATCTTTCATGCTACAGTTAAACACACCCCTTCTTTTCTATAGCTTTCGGAGGAGATAGAGAATGAGTGTTAGCTCTAATCCTCCTTGTTAGCGTCCTCTGCTGACTCAGAGCTCGGTAAGCCTTTCCCGTCAGGCTCTTCCTGCTCCGATTACTGTGCTGTCGGTTCTTGACCCGTGTGCCACTTACTCGGGGTCATGGTTCCTGCCAGGTGTCCACTGGTGTGTGCCCAGGAGCATGCTAACTAGTCGTGTCAGCCATGCGTAAGCAAGTAAGTCAGCTGCCCCGAATTTCACAATCCACCGAAGAGCTGAAGTAAAATCGGTGCTTACCTGGGAGTTCAGCTGCCCTTTCTGTCCTCACGGCACAAAGCTGGTTCTCCTTCAGGCTCTTCCTCCTGGCTTGTTTCCCTCAATGCCTTTCTCTTGCTAAAGTTTCTAGTGGTCACTCATACTTGCGAATTGGCCTCCGCCCCCTCTAAATCCTGAAAAAGGCAGAAAGTGGAGGGAGGTACTGGATAGTCAACCCCAGAGCAAGCAGGACTTGGGCCGGGGTGGGGGACCCCAGCAGGGAAAGTACTGGTGTCACCGCTGTTTGTTGGGGGGGCAGCCGGAAGCTCGGCTCTCTGGCTTCCTGAACCTGGGGTGACCTGGGCCCCTGGGCGCCTCTGGCTCTGGGGGAAACCGTTGAAAGCACAGGGCCCAGATTCTGGCTTCTTATTCCCACATCTACACTCATTTTCCAACTCGACCACCTCCTGATAGAAGGTAGGGAAAGGTCACTTGAAGGGGTCGTCTAGCAGACCTGGCCTTGATGGCCATGTGGCTGGGGCACTGCTGAGGGGCACTAGCCCCCACCCCCTCCTGGACCTGTTGGCCTTGAAGCCTTGAGGAGGAGCTTCCCTGGCGCGGACGCCAGAGGTAACCTCTGTGTGGGCCGGGAGCACCATCTCGCCGACCCCCCGAGGGGGTTGGGGGAGAACCGACTCTGCTTGCCTTCTGCTAGAGGGAGTGGAGTCCCCAAATGCCACCTGGTGACCTCGCCTCCTGTGCTGGGGAGACCCCACCGTGTCCCTGCCAGCGTCACATGGTTCTGTGTTTGCCAGAGAGACTGCGCCCCTCGTGTACCCG